ATAAGATTTTGCTCATGCCATAAGCCAATGGCCAATGATTGTCAGCGTCGACGAGTGTGATTGATTGATGTACGATAAGCGGCAGGGCAGCCAGCGACAGCCGAGATTGCGGGGCTCGGTTCATTGGAGTGTAAGCCCCCCACATAAGTCTCAAGCACACACACACACATGGACAAACACACATTCACATAAGTAGAGTAGCTGCCTACCCTATTGTTCGCTATGGCGCACCCAAATTTGGCGATTCTAAGAGCAACAACAACAACAACAGCAGCTGAGACAACGACGGCCACTTAAGCGCCCGCCGCTAAGATCAATTTGAGGCGATAAGATTAGAGGGCGGCCAAGCGAATTGTGTATGAAGCCAATTGAACGCCCACAGCGTCGCTACAGCAATCCCCGAAACTCGCTACATAGAAGCATCGGACATTTCTCAATATAGCTATGCACCGTGGTGCGAGTAAAAGGAGAATTGGTTTAATCTGTCTTATATTAAACTGAAGACAAATCTGCAAGTTTTATATCATGCTCAAATAATTTTCTTTTAATCTTGTTAAAATAATACAGAAGTTAAGAGAATGCATAAATTTTAAAAATAGACGTAGCAAAATAATAGAATAATTTTGTATGATATATATATAATCCTAATGTTTATTTTCTATTTAACAATTTAACAGGCTTCTGACAATTTTGAAGTATATAAAATTGTATACCTCGGGGAAAAAATATATATGTAATGAGAATATAATATAATAATTGAAAATGGAAACGTCGCCAAAACCAGCATTTAATAATTATATAATAATTAAAAAATATCAAACTATTCTAAAATAATATTTACTAAATTCAGTATTCTGAATTTTTGGTAAATTAGGTTATTTTAATAATATAAATAATATATAAATGTAATGATCTATTAATACAAATATATAATATAGTCTAATATTATTAACTACCTTTAGTTTTCTTAACTCTTGGGAAATAAGTATATGATAATAACAATGACAATATAAAAATATAATAATAAAAACAATAAAATATATAATATAATATATCAACCACATTCAGTATTCTGAATTGTTTCGACATAAGTTTATTAAAAACATTGTAATATAGTAATTCCAAAATTTTAATAATATAAAAATATATAATACAATATAGTAATATAAACTACTTTCAAGCCTCTAAATTCTTGGGAATAACTATTGTCCATATATTATATAATTAGATGGAATTTTTCACTGTCATTTATTATTTGAGTAGTTTATCAGTTTTCCCTTTGCTGTGATCACCCTGTTCAGTCGATCACCAATTAATTCTAGACTAAAATAACTAATTGGTTCACGATCGGCAATCAAAGCGTCTTCAAGCCATCTGACTGACTCTAATTATCGACGATTCATAAACCTTGCCTGAACGGAGTCCCCAGAGATGTTCAGATGCAACAAGATGCCTTAGAACTGACCACAGGTTATCTTTAAATCTCGCAATTTCAATAGCTCATGTTTTACTTGGTCAAACTAATTGATATAAGAAATAAACATAAAGTATTTCATTTCGTCTTCTAGACTTTTGCACCACTGTGCGGCTTTGAGATCAGTTTAGCATTAGTACTTCTCTATGCCATAAGAAGCCCGCATATCTATCGATGTATGTGTGTACTTAGTTGGTTGTTTGCTTGGTTGGGCGCACAAAAAAAAAAACGAAAAACAAAAAAAATGCTGGGGTTAGGTACAATGTACATTCAAATAAGGAAGCAATTTGCCATGGCTCTGGGCTGGCGCGAGTAGGAAACGAAATCTAAGCCAAAGCGGACAAATTATGCGCGACGCCAACGCCGAACGGCAAACGTGAACGCAATAGTAAACGAAAGACTTAGGCAACAAACTGGCAGCTAAGAATTCTTTTTCGGCGCATTCATTTATTATTTAACCCGCCTGCCACACATACCAAAAGACAACCCTCATAACAGACTCTCGACAAACGAACCGATTAACTGTATTCAAACACCAACGCAGGTTGTCACAAAAGTTGCGGCAACTTCAGCCTCAACTTCAAAATGAAACTGAAACTGAACTGAAGCGGCGCATGTCAAGGACATTGACGTGAACGCTGATGGGCCGGCGTGGGCAAAGGTGAGGCAAGAGCCAAGTCGCTGCATTCATTTGCATAACAAGCGACACGGTTAACGGTCAAAATGCCTAAGCAAACAATTGCAAATCACTGAGTTTCGAGCTTTGAGCGCGTAGACCATTGTCGAGCGGCAGCAGGGCAGACCAAGAGGTGCGGCTAGCTGGCCCAGTCAGTCAGTCAGTCAGTCAGTCAGTCAGTAGCAACAATAGCAGCTGCATGTTGCATGCCTCAGAGCTGCTCTTCATATTTATGTATCAACTATTATTGTTGTTGCTGTGGATCGCTTACCGCGATTTACTGACCGTTTCTGACCGACTTTGTTTGCATTTTGAAACTACATCAAGTTTTGCGTAAATATTTGCCATTTTTATCGATGCGCCATTGTTATGCTCAAAAGAATGAAACGGAATGAGTTAAGCAGCGTTAAGGGCACAGGGGCACGGCCTGTCTGCAATTAAGTAAATGCTTAGCCAGTTACATCACAGATTCACAGACTCGCATCGTGAGCCAAGACAAAGCCTAATGAACTTCCGTTTTGTCAATGATTTTCTGTGTCAATTGCCAATTAATGCTGGCAACTGAGAAGTGGGCAAAATACACAAAGACACAACAACGACAACGACAAAAATCTGAAGCCAAAGACAATGCAAAGACAGTCCACGCAGCAATTAAAAGTTACGTGACTTGGATGAAAGACAATGATTGGAAAGGAAGATACAGAATAATTAGGTTAGGCGAAATTCAAAATTTGAGCATACGAAATAATTAATTGTATACAGTAGAGACCCGATTTCAGGGTCTAAGAAATTATGACTGCCCCCTTTTATGAGGTTCTCATAAATTCAAATACGTCCTATTAATCAGATTTGTTGGCAATCAAATCAACTTTTAACTTTGTTTGGCAACTCTTTGGCAAAACAACAAAACAATAATCTAACATCAAAAATAATGCAAAGACAGACCAAGCAGCAGTTAAAAGTTACGTCAGCTAAATAAACGACAATGACAGGAGAAGAAGACACAAACTTTTATTACAGCATAATTGGGTTAAGCGGAATTCAACAGTTGACAATAGTAAACAGCTGTATACAGTGGATACCCGAAATTAGGGTCTAACAAATAATAGCTGCTCTACTATGCGATTCTCATAAGTTCAAGTATGTCCTTTTGATGTGTTCTGTTAAGAACCCAATAAACCTATATCGTTTATCTCATACTCGAACACTTATTTACGCTTATAGTCTCCCTAATTCACTTGTTTACTTCCTTATCTTATGCCTATTTTCTCAGGACTCTTTCTCTTTCTCTCTCTAAATAATGTATATATATACACACAAGTTACTGACCCTCCTAGCTTATATTTAATATTATATTTTAGATTTTTATAGATTAACAAAATATCTAGTTCTTAGAGCTTGACACAAGCTATCTTCAAATTTTTTTGATGTATTAATTTTTATCTACTTATATTTATTAAAAACGTTTCCAAAAACAAAAATTTTACTGCTCACAGAAAATGTGCCTCGTTTATGATTCTCTTTCAGCTTTAATTATATTCATAAATTCATGTGCACATGATTGAAATATGGTTTTTAGTCAACAACAAGATTCTATTATAAACGCTGTAAAGAGTTCTTCAGCAGCACTTGAGAAAGATTGGCGAACAAAAAACAACTTACGATTTTGTAGCTTTCAGTTCGTGAGCATTTTGTGTGCGACGAATAGAAATTGATTGCTGAGCATGTACGAATTGCTTAGTTATTTCGGTAAATGGCAGAATAGTTAGCAACTGACAACTCGCATAATCAATAATCAAGTTGTTTGACTTAACAAAAGTCCAAAAAAAAAACTAACAAGATACTTTATAATCAATTCATTTGTGTGCATATCGCATTTAAATCAAGTGCCGACTACTGAAAAACCATGAATAATTCTTCAAGTACGAAATTCGTATTTGAATTTGAATTAAATGCTGCATTTGCATACATTTAACGAGCGAATGATGGACATAAACAAGAGAGCTGCTAACGCTGGCAACTTAATTATACAGTTTACGGGTAACAAGAACTCGGCAACTGAGATCGAACGCCTACGCAGTTGGCGAAAAAAACCGAAGAACTGCATTTGGAAATGTGTCTCGCCCACGGCAATTGGCAGGGTATCAATTTACACAGCGATGCGCCTGCTTGGACAGCTGATCCAAAAACGAATCAAGTTCTTCTCAATTACATGCAATGTCTTTTGGCTTTTGGCGCTTGGCGTTTGGCCATACGGCGCTCAAGTGCAGCACTTGACAACGCGATTAACTCGCTCGAGTGTTGAATGTGGCTTTGACGGTGGCTGCGACTGTGGCAGCCACTGCAGCAATCTGCCCTCCTGGCAGTCGAGAGCCCCCGTCCACATTGCAGTGATTGTTGTTTTAATTAACGAGCTCGGTAGAAAAAATCAATTGGTTCGCTCAGTACGTATTCGCAGTCAAGATCTTTCTTGAGCCATGTTGCTTCAATGCGGCGCCGCCGCTGGCCCACTTGAGCATTGGATTTCATCTCTATAGCATGTGTATGGTGGAAGACATTGAGGCATTGAATTGCTGCTGCTCCAAATGCTTAATACACTTGCAATAAGTGTATTTGTTTTATGACTGCCGTTTGTTTTGGCTTCTTTATTAGCACAAATGAGCTCGCATTTGCTATTCGTGTAGTTACTTCATAAAGCCAAACATTCTCGTAAACATGCCAAGCAAGCGAGGCATTTGCCGTTGCCATTGCCTTTGCCTCCGCCTTCGCCCACGCCCCGGGCCCACAAATGAGCTGGTAGCAAGGTCAGGCGACTGTGTACATACTTATTTGATTGAATGTAAACACATATCAAAAGTTATATGCGTACTTGAGCTTGGGATGAATACAAATTCAAATGCCGAAAAAGAACCCTCGATCAATGTATGTGGCTCTCCTGCATAAGCATATGAATATGTAATTCCCAAAGCTCAAATACTTGAATTCTTTTAATGCAGTAAGCTCGAAAAAAATTCAATGACAATATTATATAAAATACAAGAATTAACGTTGAATACAAATAGATTCGCTCGGCCTAGCTGTTCGTTCCATGCCGTCCCGTCTTGTGACTCCCCAATGCTTTTATACGAGCTAAATCATATACTAGCTCGCAAATATACGAAACTTTGAACTAATTTTTTACCAATTTTTTTCTATAACCTATTATATATAGACCTAATAAGCAGCTAACATGTAGGGAGCATGATGAAAATATTAACTTGACAGCTATATGATGTAGTCCTCTCCGGCTCATTTCAACAAAGATTCGTTAGAGATTAGTTTTACCTGGAGACAGACGGACAAATTAGCCTGACCATCTACACGGCTATTGATATTAATCCTTAATATATATACACTTTATGGGCTCGTTGACTTATCCTCCTTCTTATGATACCCTCCACATGGATATAAGAAAACGTATCCAAATATTGAGCTGTTTTGAAATAAATATTTAATTTTTTTGATTTAGAATAGAGCGTTGATCTGATTAGCTGAAATTGTGCCAGATGCCGGCAGGTGCCACAATGTCAAGACCGTTGGCGTATATTTGGTGTATATTTGTGTGTATATTTGTGTATATTTGGTGGTCGTTACGTAAGTCTTCTTCCGCCGTGTATTCTACGAGAAGCGCATGCATTTGGCCTTCTGAGTGTATGTAACGGCGCCGTACTCTTCGACTATTTGATCTATTGCTATTTTGTTGAGATTCTCCAAGTACAGGCGCGTTTTGCGCGATTGTATGATATAGCTGATGACGTCATGCATGTTATTGAAGAAAAGGAAGCCGGCGGTGCCGCAGCTAAGGTCCAAATAACGGAATCGGTTCACATCGCAGGTGCATCCATCATAGAGGAAGTAGATGAAGTCATTGTTGTTATGGAACCGGAATACCACATAATTGCCCCACGGCGCCATCACAAAGACACGTTCCGCACAGCGAAATCCGGCGCGCAGTAGCTTACAGATGCTATCGTAACATCCATTCTCGGAGCCAACAACGGCCATTGTTTCCGGAATGCGCAGCAAAGCCGGGTAATGATTGGGCTGTGCACGGAGCACATCATGCGGGCCGGTGGACTCGGGACATGGATCCAATGGCTGTATCTGTTTTGGTGGCTCGGGACATGGTGGACATTCTTGTACAACAGCCGCAGCTGGCGCAACAATAGTCGCCTTCTTCTTTCCCTTCTTTCCCTTTTTACCTTTTCCCTTTCCCTTGCCCTTTCCCTTGCCCATCCTGCACGGTTAGCACACAATCTCTATCTAGAACTTAGCCTGCAACGGTATCCTCCTTCTCATATTGTCCGGCAGCAGTCTTCTATTAGGAGCTTAGCATCCATTGTGCACTCGCAATTAGGAATCGTGAGTATGCTGCTATTGTTACACTCACCTGAAACTGGTTGAACTCCAGGCAAATGCAACGTACTATTCCAATATTTTATTTTTTGTTATATTAAACTGGAAGCCAAACCAAATTTTTTCCGTGTAAATTTTTTGCCGTGAAAATTTTTTTCCAAAATTTTTACCGAGATTTTTGTTTTTGTTTGTACACATGTACAACCAGTTCTGATTCTGAAATTATGAGGAATGCTATTAAGAAGACTATCCCCAATAATTACAGCTATCTGCCCGGCTACTTTGATCCATCGAAATGTACAACAATCAAAATTTTGTTGACCACTTTAATATTTGGAATTTACGATTACAACGATAAGGTACAATAACTTTTATGATATTTAAATGTTGTCTTACCTACTGTATTATTATTGAAAGTGTTGGCCAATTTAGCCTCTTCTCCATTTTCATTAAGAACGTTTATTTTTATACCCTGAACCCATTGAAAATAGGAGCCCGTGCAGTACGATTTTGTTTCCGATAATCGAAAACTTGCCCCTTTTCCAAGCAATCGATAAGTATCGATTACCTCGCCAGGAGTATTCCTCCAAGGCGAACTTCTTGATCATAAAGACGGCCATCGCTACCTGGAAGTCTACCTTGATCGCAGGCTCACTTGGAGCAAACACATCGCAACAACATGCCACAGCGTACGTCAAAAACTAAAAAGTATGGCTTGGCTCCTTAAGGCAAGCAGCAAGCTTTCTCTGAGCAATAAGGTGCTGCTTAATAAAACCCTCCCGGCCCCAGTCTGGCGCTATGCAAGCCAAATTTTCGGCACGGCAGTAAAATCTCACTTGAGGAAAATAAGTGTCTTCCAAGCCAAGGTACTCAGACTGAGTGCTGGGGCTCCCTGGTACATCCGCAACCGAGCCCTAGCAAGAGACCTAAAGGTCCCCTTGGTGGGTGACCTTCTACGTCAGCAGTCCACCAGCTACATGGCCCGTCTTTCTGCCCACCCTAATATATTGGCTAGAAGACTTTTCAGAAGAAAGCGACGGAGACTTCGCAGAATCCACCCCATCGACCTCCCAAACCGGGTAATCATTTGAAAAAAAAAAAAAAAAATAAATAAAAATAATAATAATAATCATAATAAAATATAAGATAAACTGAATAATTATGAAACTTAATAGGTAAAATTAAGTATGTTTATCCCATTATAGTCAAGCTAGGTTAAGATGCTCATGAATAGTATCAATAAATTAGCTAATAAAGAGGGGAAAAAAAAAAAAAGATAAGTATCGATATCGGAATCCAGTTTTTTGAGCGTAAACTTGACATTTACGTTAAATGATATTACTTTTAAATATTTGTAAGTGTTTAAATTAAATATTTATGATATTCGCAAAGTAAACACAGAAAAAAACAGAGTATATTGGTCTAGTACACAACTGTCTAGCTGCCTGATCAATTTTTTCTCTATTTTCACGGTATACAGAGCAATGCAAAATTCTTCCTTGCAGACGGTCTGCCAGTCATTGAAAAGGGAATATGAATTTATAATTTTTTAACTAAATACGGTAATCTTTTAATATACAAATTCAAACATTTTAATTATTTTATAGCAATCATCAAGATAATTATTTTTTTAAGCTTTACCTATTTGCATAGCTCAACTTGTGCATACATTCTAATTGATTCTGGTTAATAAGCAAGAGGCTCACAATTGTTGACTTTGAGCAGGCGATTCGACTGTCTGCTTGGCATCCAGTGACTGCCAGCAACTATGCAACTGGTCGTAAGCGCTTGTCGGCGCATCTAACTGCATGTAGAAGTGCAATTTAGCTGCTTGTCAAACTGATAACTCGCATAGTGTGGCAAGCAAATGTAAATGAAGCAATTGGCAGCCGAAACCAGCAAATGACCAAACACGAAACGCCAATTAATTAAGCTGTGAGCTAAGGAGTTAACTCGTCCGGCGTCTAGAGCGGACACTGCCGCAGGCAGACACATTCTTGGGCAATCAAACTTAAAGCACGATTGCAAAAGGATCCTCCAGCAGCAGCAATAACCAAAAAAAAAAAAAAATAGAAACCGGCAGCACTGCAATGCAAGTGACATCAAACACGACGGCACTGGGCACTAGCAAAAGTGAATGGCTGCCAAAGCAATTAAAAGTCGTTGGCGTTAAAGACCCTTGCCGTAGACCAAAACAAAAACCCCTGAAAAGCAACATGAAAATAATTAAAAATCGCATGCTAAAGGAAAAACTAACAAGAAAGAACAGCTGCCATTTGTCAGTTGCCGACGAACAATTACACTTGCCAAATCCACCTGCGAGTGTGGAAAATTGGTGGGAAAAGTTTGTTTGCTTTCGATTACAAACCAATCGGCGTGCGGCTGTGGCCCACAACTATTTTTAAATTTTCACGCTTGGCAATAGGTCAGAAGTCATGTCTTAGATTAAAGGAAAAAATTTAGACCTGGACAAAGCCGGGTAATACTTTACTTAGCAGCCAACTAAAACGTTTTGAACAGAAAGGCGTGCTCGCATAGCTGATCAAGAATATACTCGTCTAAGCTTTATAAGATCGAGCATGTAGCTGTGCGACAACATTATATTATCCACGGAAAGTGTATAAAAATAAATTAAGAACCTGTTAGCTGGGCCGAGGCACTTGTACAATATGAAATATTGAACATGCAAATTTGCGCACAATGGCGAAAAATTATTTATTCAATTACCAATTCGCAATTACCGAACAGCTGCTGACGGCGCACAGTGGTAGCAATAGCATTTCAATTGTAAGCAATAATTAACGTTGACAATGAAAATAATTATTGAAAGTGTACTTTTTTTATAAGAAAAGGAGATACTAACCTAACACTCAAACCTTTTAAATTTAAATAAATTATAGTAAATTATTACATGCTTATTAATATCTAATCTAATTAATAGAATATTTTATCATTTATCATCATTACCATTACCATTATCATTATTAATATTACTCTTAAAATAATTGATATTAATATTTCTACTATCATATTTGTTATTATTATTATGATTATTATTATTATTATTATGATTATGATTATTATTATGATTATTATTATTATTATTAATATTATTATTATTATTATTATTATTATTATTATTATTATTATTATTATTATTATAATTATTATAATTATTATAATTATTATTATTATTATTATTATTATTATTATTATTATTATTATTATTATTATTATCATTATTATTTTGATTATTATTATTATTATTTTTGATTGTATTTTTATTATTAATATTATTAAATGTTTATTAATAATTACATAAACAAAACATATAAACTATTTTATTGGTTTTCGCAATAACCAGAGCTTCGATTAATTTAATATAAATTAGATGTAACCACTAAATTCTACAGTTGCACAGCCTGCTGTTCATATGGCTTTAACCATATTTCGCGCATGTTATAACTGTAAAAATATTGCTTCAACCATCATAATACGATATAACAGTCCACAATTCAAGTTTTCAATCGCCTACCCACTGTGCAAGTAAGCCGAAGTATTTGCGCACATGCGAACCTGCAATGTGCTTGCAGCACCATTCCCAATCCCAATCCGAATCGCAAACCCACTTCCAATCGCTGACTAAGCCCGAAAACGTGGCTCAAACTGGGCCTGCAGCTTGTCTAGACGAATCGGCATTTGCTAGCGGCGTTTTAAGCTGCCGGCTTCAATGCTTTTATGACTGTCCGATTTGGTTTTGGGTAATTTCTTATGAACAATTTGCATCATTAATTTGCTTGGCGCTTATATTTGAGGGGGTGAGCGGTATGTGGCAAGCGGCCAGTGGCGACTGCTCGGCGACAGTCAACCACAGCCAGACAGAAGTTCACAGCAGTTTTATGGATTAGCATGTTGACGGTGCATCATATGCTTGCCACCGGGATAGAGGCAGACCAGCCACTAGCAACTAGCCACTAGCAACTGGCAGCTCAGCTTGCCTCACACCTTGCAACTTTACCGCAAACAGCTCGAATTGCGGCATCGGGTTGCCATGTCATGAGCTTGCAACTTGGCAAGCATGTGCAAATAATGTTTAAGCAGCTGGAGTCATTGGAGTCATGTAGCTACTGCCTGCCTCACGGCACCCACTGTGCCGCAATGTGGCATCTTCTGCCTGAAACTGACACGGCGAACATTGAAAGCCAAAAGCTGAAAGCTAAAAGCCGCAGCAGCTGCAATGACAAAGCCGCCAGTTTTCGCTAAATTTTGCTTCCGCAAGGGCCCCCAACTTGGGCTCGGGTTCAGGCGCTCCCGCTCAGGTCGGCTGAGGTCTTCAGCGTCTCCGTTGCCAACTCTGGCTCTGGGTTAACTCATTGGACGGCGACTTTATTGCTTCATCTTCAACTTGATGCCGCCAGTTAGACAGAGCTTGGCTAATAGGCAGCTTCAACCGACGCCTCGTTTATGCCATGAATCTGTATTTTGTAGACTCCGTGTTTATTTTCGTTCAACTGAAGCGGCACTTGCATATGAATAGGACTCCGACTCCCCAATATTTGTGTATAAATATGCGCCAGCCAAGCTCATTATATAAGCAGTCGCTGTTGCATTTCCAACTGCAGTTGCAGTTAAATCCAGGTCATTGTGGGTGTCAGCGTGTGTGTATATAACTTCCACTTTCTTGCAGTGAAGAAGTCAAAGAAAGGCCCTATCATATCGTATTGTGTAATTATTTCATTATTATCAACATTATGCACCCTGCTGAACTCAAAACTTATATTTTATCCATAGGAATAATAGATGTTTCCTGACTGACTAACTAAATGACTAAACGTCAAGCGACGCACTGATCAAGCTCTGGGATATACGAAGCTAAATTTGACGGAAAGTAATCTTCACTTTGTATGGAACACATTAAGAAAAGAACAGCCATATAAGTTCTAGTTCAACTCCAGTAACAGTCATTATTTTTTATATAATTTGTTATTACTCACGAAGAAAAAAACGAAAATAATAATTTAATAATATTAAATGAATGGGATTTAACAGCCATAACAATAATTATAGGCTCAACTACAAGAATGTCTGAAATATTCTTAGCGGACTAAACGTGGGCTAAATGTGGGACAGCAAGGCTTAGGGTTCGATGTATAGAGGAGCAGGAAGACAGACAGTGGATATCCGTTTAAGATCTCTTTGGGAAGTGTCAATTTTTTGATGATTACGATTTCGTTTGTACTTGATTGGTAATTAGTATAATGCGTGAGGAACGGGAGTATGAGGAATGCGTAGAGTGGCTTTGTATATTTATGAAGTTGGCGCATATTACACGGACAATTTCGGTACAGGTTGCATATTCAACTATATTTTAAAAAATATCGAAATGCTTTAGTAAAAATAGTTACTTGAAAAAAAAAATAAATACAAATTCGTAGCGTTACGTGTGAAAAGTTGGGCAAGGCAGCATGCGATTGCATAGATTTGCCGGCAAAGTAACATCGAAAAATTCAAAAACTTAAGAATTGAGTGAGCTTTCAAAAGGCAATTCAGCATATTATTAATATCCAATAAGCTCTAGGTAGGCTTTTTA